TGCCCCCGGTCTCACCATGGCTTCGCTCTGGGGCAGCCCCTCCGCCGGGAGGCTCCGGAAGAGCCGCACCTCGGCGCTGCCGTCCCGCAGCACCTCCGCACCCTCGGGGCTCAGCTCCCACCGCGTGGCTGCCCGCGCCTCCGCCTCGATCACCTACGGGCACCGGGACCGGCACCGCCACCAGCACTGGAGTCAGCCCCGGCACCGGCACCCTGGGGCTCCCGTGCGCCGCCCTGTCCCCGCTGCCCCGGCGCTCCTACCTCCCCCAGCGCCTGCAGGCTCTTGACGGCGCCCACGAGCGTCTGGTGGTCGAGGCCGAGCGCGGCGGCCGCCTCCAAGCTGCAGAGGCCGCCATCGGGCCCCGCCGCCTCCCGCTCCAGCCGCTGCAGCAGCAGTTCGGCCACGCTCGGCGACATCGCGGCGACCGGAAGCGCTCCCCGCGCCGGCCGGAAGCGCCGGCGCCGGGCGGGGCGCTGCGGGCGCCATCTTGAGTGTGGCGAGGCACCATCTTGAGCGTGGCAGGGGCCACAGGTGCCTTTGGGACGGGGAGACTGTCAGGTGCTGCGGGAGGGCTGTGACGTCGTGAGGCTGCAGAGTGACGCCATGAGGCGCTAGGCGACTTTACCACGTACCCCCGCGTACACCCTGGGCCTGCGAGGGTCCCCGTGCAGTGGCAGGCCAGTTCCCTGCCCCACCCTGTGCCAGGGAGCGCTGGTGGCAGCACCAGTGAGGCCCTCGTCGCCCCCCAGACCCGTCACCATGGCAACGACCGTCCCGGTTTGCTGGCCCATTGCTGCTGGCCCATTGCCACTGACTCCAGGCCCTCTGTCGCCATGATGATGGCCCTTGGGGCCAAATCCGGGGGACACCAGAGCTTCATTAGCACAGCCCCCTGGCCTGCACCTTCCTGGGTTTCGCATGTGCTATGACATCATTGGGCCATACTGCATCATCATTGCATCACAATTTTGTATTAGGTCATAAATCCCTGACACCAGAAGGAGACCCCCTGTCCTGAGTGTCCCACCCGCCCACCCCCCGCATTCCCCTGCCATGTCAGTAACCCAACCCTCTTCCCGGTGCCACTATGGGATGGCGAGCACCGCCCCCCACGTGGTCCGCAGAAGGCCGGGTCCTTTAAGAGAGCCTGGCCCCACGTGACTGCGGTGATGCACCCCACGGAGGGAGGACAGGAGCGCGCGGGAGGGGGGGCGTCTCCCTCCGAACGCGTGGTCGCTCCTCATTGGCCGTCGCGCTCAGCCAATGGGAAGCGGCCATCTGGGACGCCAACGTTCGGGGGCACCGTCGCCGCCGGCCAGCGGGCGGCCGGCCAATGGGAGCGGGCCCTGTGCGGGCGCGGGCCAATGGGC